ATAGAGTTTAAGCCAAAAATAAAATTGAACCAACCGACAACACATAGATGGGAGTACCTCCCCCGGGATATCACATAAATCGGATTGAGGGTCCCCAATACGGTATTTTATTCCCGTAATCCCGACCCAAAATTTCGTGCAGTCGCGTAATCCTGATAGTTATTTTTGGCACCCCGTCACGGGCATACTTCCAACCTCTTATGGCGATCGCGCAGTTAAAATCCCAGATCCCGATAAACCTACTGATGATCATGAATGTCATTTTTCTTTTCAGGAAGTGTAACCTGCCCGACTTTTCGCAATGAGGATATTGCTCTTCAATGCAGTCCCAGCCAAACAAAACATTTATATCTGACTCTGAATGCGGCAGCTCGCGCAGATCAAAATGTTGCGCAACTTCTCGCAGAGGGAGCTGTTCTCTTATGTGTGTAACACCTCGCGTTCTTGGTAAGTATAGTAGGGTAGCTAAGTACCCTAACCCTAACCCTATCCCTAACCCTTTTCGCATTTTTTTTTTGTAAATAGAGGGTTAAGCATCACGTTTACCTCAAAGAGCCGTCAAACGGCAAACGCGAATTTGTACTACATGACCAAGTTTGCCCTTTACTTGTCGGTTACTGTTCTTACGTGATGCAAAAAGGGTTTCCTCGCGAAAAGGTGTCTGAGAAACGAGCACAGAAATTCCATTCTGATAACTCGTCACTACCCAGGGACCCTGGCACTTGATTGACTTACCCTAGCCCCTCTCCCCAAACATTACTAACCTTGCTCTGCGATCCCTATTAGCTTAAATTTGAGTGGTGATTTCCCAAGTGATAGCAACAGAGTAAAAAGTTAGAACCACCCTATGTACAATTTTATATAAAAAAAGCTGATCCATTTTGTAATGCAAAGTCACAGCTCACGGTAAGAGTCGAGGATTGAATGAGTCGACAACGCCTAGGATCTAGATATCCTCAGAGATCCAAGAGCAGTCAGTCAGGTCGGGAGAAAAGGCACGACGAAAGTTTTCAAGCACGGGTGGAAGAGCCTCTGGGTACCGACTATCACCGGACCATTTCCAAACGGTCAAGCGAATGCTGGCTCCTGTTTGGGCCCCCCAAAAATGCTTTGTATGATTGTACCCAATCGGCGAACAACATCTCCTGAGTTCTTTTCGTGTGTTCATACACGACGGCTATTGTCTCGCCATACTCGTACGTGAAAGGACAACTCTCATCTTCTAGTTTCCTAACCAGAAAGGAGGGAACTACCGATGACTCGGGAAAACGTTTCGGATACTATCAGCAGGATTATTCCAATCTGGACCAAGAAAATTCTGTTTCTGATCGATCACAAGGTTTGTAAATAATATGGAGCTTTCATATGAGCTGCTCAAGTAGATTAAGGCCTGGTTCTACGTGATTTGCGATTTTTATGCAAATTTTCCAAAAACTATTGTTAAAGACATCCTCCTTGAAAAACAGATGGTAAAGTAAACTAACCTTAAAAAAAACTTGAAAAAAAAATCCAAATTACCTCGTCACGTGATCGACCACGCCCTCTTCTGTTCAAAAATTTCAATTAACGATGCCCACCACTTCCTAAACGTGTAACTCCAGTTTCTCTGTATCAAAACTTTGACCCTACAAAGTGTCTACGAAATCAGCCTGGAATGGTTGGAATCTTTACAATTTGTAGATGCAATTGGTGTTCATTGACTAGTGCCAGTCCTCCTCTTAATAAAATTTTCGTTAGGAGAAAGACGTTAAATGACTTCGTTTCATTCCACCCGTTTTTACAAGAAGACTATCAGTAGCCACTTTCTGGACCTACAAACGGAAAACGATTTGCTTTCTACATAGTGGGCATTTCGACCCAAAGGATTTCTCGATAAAACAGGGCGTGGCTGGTCACGTGATGCAGTTATAAGCAATTTTTAAAATGAAAGTTGAAGATTTCGTAGTTATCATTAGCCTTAATTTATTAGACCTGGGATATCTTTAAAAAACTTTACATTAGACCACCCCCCTTTAAAATTCTGAGGAATTTGTAAAGAACCAGGCCTTAATCTACTTGAGTGCTGGAAGTGGTAAGCCATAAAAAATTGAGGCAATTAAGACTGAAGTTAAGGTCAATGCAATCATTAATAATGATCTCAGTCCTCACTGGATAGCTTCCATATAATCGCTCGATTGCTTCAAGTCTACAGTCTTGCTTGTAGCTCATTTATTCAGTTGTTTGTTATCGATCACCATATCTGTAAGCGTCTATTATCAATGATTGGAACAGCTCGGAGACAGGTGTGGGAAGGCTGGGTAAGCTTCTTCTGCCCATACTCGTTCAAGTCCCCTGGAGGAAAAGCTGGCATTACTATAATCCTTGAAAATGTTGATTAGACTACTAGGCTTCTAGGCTTCCGGTAGTCGCTGAGCAAAGGGAAAACTCCAGCAGAGCAATAAGGCGATGTAATGTCGGTGCGTTTTGCAGGGACCCAGTCCGATGAAACAAACACAGTGCGATGGCGGCTGTGAGGGGAAACCAGTCTCACAAGGCCTGCACTTCAACGGTAGGTTGTGCACCCTGAGGCCATTTCTGTCAACTTCTCACTAAGAAACATCTAAACATGCTAAAGTGAATTCGCTTTCATTCAAACAAAAGACTTCTTACGATTGATGCAGAGGAGGAGGAAGGAGGGGTAGGGGGAGGAGAAGGAGGAAGGTTTTAAACATAACGAAAGTTGTTGAACGGTAAATGTTAAATTGTCTTATCAAGCAGAAACCGTCTCGTTTAGTCGATGAATCAAGATGGAGAAGTGAGTTCAGTACTCCCTCATGACAAATGTGACCAATTGCAATCGGCTTTTAAGTCCATTAAGGCCCCAGTGAATTACAAAAGCACATTGGGATTAACTAATCTTTAAAAGAATATCCTGCCACTTCTTTCCCCTAAAGAGCTTATAAATAATTCCATTCAGGAAATTTGATGCATGAAGCCTTTTTTACCGGAAACGAGATTTCCCGCCATTTGAAAAAGTGAACAATTTTTGTATTCGTTAAGGGATAAACAGTACATAGAAAATAGAACTTACATATAATGCCACATACATAACGCAGTAGATTTTTTAGGCGGTAACGCCTAAAAGGCTAAAAAAATACCGAGAGAAGTCTGTGTAGCCGGTGGGATCGTTTGAGCGAGCAGAGTTTTGGCAGAGGAGCCTTCGAAGATGTGCAGTAGGGAAGGGGAAGGAGACGCTTCAAGAATAGAGGGTGCGTCGCCAAGACTCTCACAAGCGCAGAAATAATTCCGTCAGTTACGCAGGCTATACCGAGGAACTTTTAACAGAAGGCCTCACTGAAAATCACTCTTTGAGAAGTTAGCTCCCTGTAAAAAGATTATTATTATTATTATTATTATTATATATATATATATATATATTTTTTAAAAATCAAAAATAACTTTAATCATAGATTAAAAAAAAACAGACTATTTACAGATTCAAGAATATGAATATTACAATATATACCCTATGTACATTCTTCTTGTGTACGAAAGAGAATTGTCGTAAAATGACTATCTAAAAACTACTAATAACAATTATAAAAAGCATCAATTATTCAATTATTCAATAATTAATAATTAATCAATTATTATTATTATTATTATTATTATTATTATTATTAAACGCGAGGCACTGCGAAATTTTATGCTGTAAAAAAGGCTTTTATTACGTGTCGATTAAAGGAGCTGTGTTACGAAAATTTATCGAAATTCTAACAGTGGGATCCGCAACCAAATTGGGTGAATCATAAAAATGACCGCTCAAAAAAATGACACAGCATCTACACAATAAGGTTCGGATAGACAAAATTGAAGAAGATTAAAACGGATTTCAATTGGAGTTCTTGGAAACTTTTTTGCCTAACAGTTCGTTTTCGTTGTTTGTACACGTTTGATAAAATGCATGGAAGACATGATTTCGTCATTTGCCACTTATTTCTTCGCTAAAGTTATGAGTTCCATTGCGAATAGAGACGTGTAATTAGCAAAATATTAAAAAAATGAACCTTAGACAGTCGTGTCGGGCAGCCGTGACACTGGCAGCCTCTCTAGTGACGAACAAGTATGTTTCAAATGATGGGGTTACAGCAATGGGTGACTTCTCGGCCTCAGAAGTTAAGCTAACTCCTATCTATCCGAGACACTTGGCAAAGGTGATCTTTTGGATTCGGAGAGGTTCAAGAAAAACAAAGCTGGTCTTTAGATAAAGTTTTGTACAGATGAATACTTGTTTTGCGGTAAAAACATATTATGCAGAACAGAATATAAACTGTGAAGAGTTTTGCAACATGATTGACGATTTTTGTATGAAAAAGGTGAGCATATATGAACAGCTTGAGAATCAATACCATTGCCTTCACGGGCTGTACGTCGTTGTGACTTGAACAAATACGTTTTCACATTTTTAAATGTGAAAACGAGCCATGTTGAGGTAAAAACTATTTTGTCCAATGGTGTACTAAGAAGTATCGTGGTGAGAATGCAATTTCCACTAAAAATGCAAAAAGCAAAAGTGATTTATTTTTTCGAACAATTAGTTGTTCATTTATTGATATCTTGGCCATCAAATAACACAAATGTTTTATGATCAATTAAGATTTTTATAAACATTTTGCGTGTAATACGGCATGCAAAGCGTACAAATTAAATAGATTTCTATCGACGAGCGAGCAAGAGACATTGCAATAATTACCTTTCACGGAGAAAAGACCCTGTCCAATTATCCTAACCGATGGCTTGGTATTTAATTCGTACCCCTTGCCGCTTCAATCAATAGAAAATATGCTAGGCCATTTCCGTTGATGTTACCAATTGGAAAACAAACTTAATGGAAATTACCTGTTTGAGTGCAATTAAGATTGTGTTGTCAGCCTATCGCTTGGACAGGTGAACTGCGGAGCACAAACATTGCTATTTGGTGAGTGTGTGAGCCATTTGGCACTGACTTGCTAAAGGTGAACATGGAGTCGAAGAATGGTCAAATCCCGTGGAAACTGTTACTTTTTGCGTTCACAACGCTGGTAATTGGCGCAGCTCAGGCTAACGATCATGACGCACTGATCATAACTAAACTTGGCTCAATTCAAGGTGTAACGCAGGTAATTTCCAACGCCCACGGATCTGCTAAAGCGATCCATAAATTTCTGGGAATTCCCTACGCAATACCTCCGATTGACAGCCTACGCTTTGCACCACCACGGCCTCACAAAGGATGGGGCAAAACGGTCTACCAAGCAACGTCTTTCAAATGCATCTGCATGCAGTTGATACACCACTACAACTCCTCCATTAGGCAAGCTTGGGATGGATTTTCGGAGCAGGATAACATTTGTGAAGACTGCTTGTACCTGAACATCTATACTCCGATCAATGCATCTAAAGCCGAGCAACGCTACCCCGTTTTAGCCTACATCCATGGCGGTGGATTTTTTGCCGGAACTCCAGTTCAGGTCGTGTCCCCTGGCGAATATTTACCTTTGCGTGGAGTTATTCTAGTCTGCATTCAATATCGCCTTGGAAGTTTCGGGTTCTTCACGACAGGGGATTCAACGGCGGCAGGAAATTATGGAATGTTAGATCAAGTTGAAGCGTTGAGATGGATTAGAGAGAATATTGAAAGCTTCGGAGGCGATCCTACGCGGGTGACACTGTTCGGAGAAAGCGCGGGAGGGGCTAGCGTAAACCTTCATATCCTATCTCCACTTTCCAAAGGTCTTGTTCATGGCATTATCACGGAAAGTGGCACAGACTTGTCGCCTTTTGCCTTCAACGAAAATTCAGTCGTTTCTTGGTCTTCGAGGAATCTGGCTGAGAAATTAAACTGCGGTCTCAAGAAGACGGATCAAATGTTGCGGTGCCTAAGGTCGAAAAAAGCGTCAGAGATTTTACAGTTTGCAACCAACGGAAATTTTTATCCCGTTGTTGATAAACACTTCTTGCCTGATTCCCCTAGAAATCTGCGGAAAGCGGGCAAATTTCAGAAACTACCAACAATCGCTGGATTCGTGAGTAACGAAGGATCTTTCTTGCTTGACAGCTCACTGAAAGAGTACGATGAGAACATCTTCAAAGAATATATAAAAGGCCATATCATCAACAGCATGGTGGACTATGCTGACCGAACATCTCTTCTAGTGGATGCGGTGTTGTTTCAGTACACACACTGGCCGGGAAATAGCAACAACTCCTCAAAAATAAGACAGAGTCTAATCGATGCCTTCACCGATTATTTTGTCGTGGCGCCGACCCATGCGAGCCTGGTTTACCAAAGTCAATTTTCTCCAACCTGGCTGTACGAGTTTCGACATCGTTCCAAGCATAGCCCCAAACAAGATTGGGAAGGCGTGGCTCATGGAGATATCACGGCATACGTCTTCGGCGTTCCTCTGTTGAATCTGAGCTCACCACATCCTTATACCGATACAGACAGAAACATCAGCGATTTTATGGTGACCGCCTACACAAATTTTGTAAAATTTGGAGAGAAAATGCCGGAACGCGTATACGGCCTAGAGTGGAGGAAATTTATGCCTACCGATCACTTTTATCTCCGAATAGAAGCGACCCCCCACATGGCAAAGAACTTTCAACCCCTCAAAATTGCATTTTGGAACGATTATATGCCACAGTTGTCCGAATCCATCTTGAAGTGTCTCGATCCGGAGATCGCAGGAACAACAAGCGTAGCACACGCAAAGAAATTTAACTATTGGGAGTCATTACTTATAATGTTTATTGTAAATATTTGGGTGCTGACCTGGCAAACGTGAAAAAAACTCTTCGAGCAACGTTTGATTTAAAACATTTCTTGCATCATTCATTGAGGATGATACTAAATTGTACAATATAAGTACAATTTACTCAAGATTAACCCAACACAGAAAGATTTTAGATTGCATGAATTTGATCAGTTTGGCAAAAAGACGAGTAAAAAAAACTTTTCATACAGGCGTGCAATGTGTCATTCGTAAAAAAATTGTCAAGGAACCAGATGCGAAGAAAAATAATAACAATCAGCGGAAATATGTTTAAAATATTTATCATTTAACATGCATAATAAGCAATTACAGTAGATAAAACAAAAACATATACTCCCTGCGTGAAGAGCGATTCATTACATTTTACTTACTTTCAGAAATTAAATTGCTTCTATTAAAAATATCGAAAAACGGTTGTAACATTTATCAGCGAATGAATATATGCATCTTCTGTTTTGTATGAAAGAAAGATACTGTTATGATCAAAACAAAAACTTACGTAAGCGTTAAGGTGATTTGCCTATTGGATTGACGCATGTTGAAAAAACAAGGGAGTGTTATTACTGTAATGAGCGAAGAAATTGTTTCATAAACGTTTTCATCTGTTTTCCGGAGATTTGTTTTCCGCCTGTTTCCTTGTGGTACAAACATTAATGGTTTTTGCACAAAATCAGGCTTAAGAGGCCATTAAATCGATCGTATACATGTATAACACAAAAAGTTGTAAAGCAATGACGGAAGGAATGCATGACGGGAGGCCGGATGTTTTTATTATCGTCCAGCCTGCTTTCTACAAAATACGATAATGTAGTCGGATAAAAGACTAAAAGGCAGTAACAGTAATATACGTACAATTATTGAAAAAAGTCTCGTTAAGGTACGGAAAAACGGGCAACAAACGAGTTTAACAGCTATGTTGCGCCTTTTACGACCCACTTTCAAACCTGTTAACAACCTGGGTGAGTTGCTCAAAGCATGGTTAGCTTTAACCATTGGTTAAGCAGTATCAAAACCAATACGTTGTCAAGGTATTAAACGCTGGTTAACGCTAACCATCCTTCGAGCAACTGGGCCCTGATTTGTTGCAAGACAGGTTTGATGTGAGTGGTAAAACGCGTAACATCGCTATTTAACTCGTTTTGCGGCAATGTTGCAAGACAAGTTGTACGTTTTTTGTTGCCCGTTTTTCCGTACCTTCACAATACTGTGTTAATTGTGTAATCAACAAAAGTTTTCAATAAACGTTATTCTATATGTTTGTTCAAAGGGTACAACAAGATACCAAGCACACGTTTGGTATGGCCCAAAAAGCGTAGGTTACAGCCTAAATGAATAAACGGCCTCTTTGAATCAAACCACTTACAACCACGGTTTTGCCTTACAAAAGTATTTTCTTAATTGCTCCGCCTTTGAATTGCTAATACGCTATGTAATTATCACGCCACTGTCAATCGGCATTGAAACAAAACCTCAAGCGCGACTTTGATTGTAACATGGTTTTCCCGCGCTTGGATAGCGCCGGCTACTTGCACCTTCTTCGAGAGTTGATTGGTCCATTTGATTTTCTGCAGTTGCTCTGATANGGGGGGGGGGGGGGGGGGGGGGGGGGGGGGGGGGGAAAAGCTCCTTCGCCCTATTCCCCTCCCTAGCACCTCAGCTCGCCCCCCCCCCATTCGTATTTTGATACCCTTTTTTCCCCATATAGGAGTCTGCAACTAGACTATAAGTCTGTGATCGTCTGAGCCTGCGCAAGACGTCTTTATATGCTCAACTGAACAGACCAATTTCAATATATTAAAATTCATACTTGGCACCGAGGCTAGCGGGGATAATACAAAAGAAATGTATTATTCATTGCTGAGCCTTGAAATGATTTCTTTTGTTTTATTCCCCTAAGCCTCCAAGCCAAGTATGAATTGACATATTTTTATCGAAATTGGTCTTTAGGTTGGGTTAGGTTAACACGGGTTACATTATCGACCGCCTGAACCTTAAAATTTTACCTGGTTCGTCAGTTCCGTGTGAACACAGCAAAAGTTCTTTCAGTTTCTCAACTAGACAATCAACATTTAATTAGCAGGATGCATTTCTAATGAAAGTCGTTACTTTACTTATGAAACAAAATGTTAGTAGTGTTTTTTGTAAATAATCGCCGATAGTATGATAGACTATAAAACAACCCGCAAAAGCATGAAGCGACGTCCGTTCAGTTTGCGAGGCTTGCGCACTTCGCGGGAAAATCTCACGCCGGCAGTTCACGCTTTTAAAGAACTAATTTTGAGAAAAAAAAAAAAACGACCGTTTGCAGTCTAATATTACGACTGCGATTGCGCGAATGCTTGACAGTATCAAAAAATAAACTACAATAAAATTATTAGTAAACTGAGTTAAAATACAAACGTTTTTAATTTGATTTTAAATATTATTGTGATAAATATTACAAGTATAATTCTGATAGTCAAATATATTAACGAACTTATTCAGGCTTAGGCCTTCACCTTTGCAAATTTACGTCCACAATTGAAATAACGCGGTTATGTCCACTCTTTAATAATGTATTAAAAGTACTGAAAAGTCCACCATTTAAATTTAGCAGGTATGCGCAATCAAGGTCCTTCATGCGGGGATTAAAAATGGTACTTTTCATGGGTTCAACCAAAATCAACAAGCTCATAACTCGAGGTTTAAACCAACTGAAATCGACTCAAAAAATGTGCTTATGGGATCATTACGGTTGTACTAGTCGTGAAAATACATTCAATTCCATTCATTCAATTCAATATAATGAGCTAATCACCGTAATAACAAAACCCTTTCTCACCAGTTTTTCTGCGCGAGTTTTTTACGTAACTTGTTGCCCGCCACATGTATTTGCTTCGCGACCTTGTTGCTTCATTTGAGTGTCAGTTCGTATTGTGATTGGTTAGCTTAATAGCTCTGGTTCAGCCCTACATAGCCTGCGTAGCATGGCGGTTTTGTCGGGAGCACGACTGAGCGTCGAAACCGCAAAAACGAGCTAAGCCCTACAAGACTTAATACAAACCGTTCTTAAAACGTATCCATTACACCAGCGAACTGCTTGCCGGGATTGTGCTTTTTAAGGTGATGTATGTAATTTTTCCGCGGTTACAAACCTTAAGCAACCACATTTAACACGTAAGACCTCGTTGTTTGCTTTGTCTGTTCAGTTTACGCGCCCTTCATTTGTCCAACAATAAGAAGTGCTACGTTTTGTAAGCCTCAGAAGGCGTCGGACCTCCCAAGCGACGTAAAAAGAAAGTAAAAGCCACATTCTTGACCACTTGCTTCGTGTTCTGTATACATTCGTGCTGTGTTTTTCTCTCAGGTATGTGTAGACCAACGCTTTAGGTCATTTACAGTTCATATAATCACACTTTTCCCTTAAAAGAGGTCTTAAAATGCTCAAGAAGCTTAAAGTGAAAAGCCAGCGAGGGGTCTCTATCCTGGAAATGCACTTTGACCTTAACATCTTTCTTGCCAAGTGAGCGAAGATTGTCTACAAACTTTTTCTGCTCTTTGCCAACCCACGGCCGTGAAGAGTCCTGGATCTGATAAGGTGTCACGTGCACGCGAATGCTTGACTCGTGCGACGCTAAGTGATCAAGATATTTTTTGTCTGTTATCCACGTGTTGGACTCGCCACTATGGCCTCCGTCCAACCAATACATGGTAGTGATTCGTGAGACAAAGTCACTGAGCCGCGAGTCGTCAGACGCTGAAACCATTCCCAACACAGAAAGATTTTAGATTGCATGAATTTGATCAGTTTGGCAAAAAGACGAGTAAAAAAAACTTTTCATACAGGCGTGCAATGTGTCATTCGTAAAAAAATTGTCAAGGAACCAGATGCGAAGAAAAATAATAACAATCAGCGGAAATATGTTTAAAATATTTATCATTTAACATGCATAATAAGCAATTACAGTAGATAAAACAAAAACATATACTCCCTGCGTGAAGAGCGATTCATTACATTTTACTTACTTTCAGAAATTAAATTGCTTCTATTAAAAATATCGAAAAACGGTTGTAACATTTATCAGCGAATGAATATATGCATCTTCTGTTTTGTATGAAAGAAAGATACTGTTATGATCAAAACAAAAACTTACGTAAGCGTTAAGGTGATTTGCCTATTGGATTGACGCATGTTGAAAAAACAAGGGAGTGTTATTACTGTAATGAGCGAAGAAATTGTTTCATAAACGTTTTCATCTGTTTTCCGGAGATTTGTTTTCCGCCTGTTTCCTTGTGGTACAAACATTAATGGTTTTTGCACAAAATCAGGCTTAAGAGGCCATTAAATCGATCGTATACATGTATAACACAAAAAGTTGTAAAGCAATGACGGAAGGAATGCATGACGGGAGGCCGGATGTTTTTATTATCGTCCAGCCTGCTTTCTACAAAATACGATAATGTAGTCGGATAAAAGACTAAAAGGCAGTAACAGTAATATACGTACAATTATTGAAAAAAGTCTCGTTAAGGTACGGAAAAACGGGCAACAAACGAGTTTAACAGCTATGTTGCGCCTTTTACGACCCACTTTCAAACCTGTTAACAACCTGGGTGAGTTGCTCAAAGCATGGTTAGCTTTAACCATTGGTTAAGCAGTATCAAAACCAATACGTTGTCAAGGTATTAAACGCTGGTTAACGCTAACCATCCTTCGAGCAACTGGGCCCTGATTTGTTGCAAGACAGGTTTGATGTGAGTGGTAAAACGCGTAACATCGCTATTTAACTCGTTTTGCGGCAATGTTGCAAGACAAGTTGTACGTTTTTTGTTGCCCGTTTTTCCGTACCTTCACAATACTGTGTTAATTGTGTAATCAACAAAAGTTTTCAATAAACGTTATTCTATATGTTTGTTCAAAGGGTACAACAAGATACCAAGCACACGTTTGGTATGGCCCAAAAAGCGTAGGTTACAGCCTAAATGAATAAACGGCCTCTTTGAATCAAACCACTTACAACCACGGTTTTGCC